AATGATCTCCACAGACTTCCAGACTCGGACTGGTAGTGGTCACGTGGAACTGATTAAAACGGTACAAAAGCTTTTCTCAGAATTTATGGAAACTGTTCCTCGTAACGTGATTTGAATTGCAGCGATAATTGCCGAGTGTTTAAGTGCCGATTCGAATTTTAATCGTTCGTTCGTCTGAGCTCGCGCGCGACTTAACAAATCGCACGTCGGGAAATTCCGAATGGAAGATAAACGCCACGATTTCCGCAAGAGGATCTTCCCGCGTTACTCAGGGTTAATACACCCAATTAGGCACTATCCCGCGATATTTCTTACGCGGGACTCGCGCGTTACCTTTCCCGGTATCGTCATTTTTATCCGCGCACGCGATGCGGAAATAATCGGAAAACACATCCATACAATATTCACGTCGAAGAACACGTCCTTGTTTTGTAAATGAAAAATCACCAGTCGCTCGCATTTCCTCGAGACACACCCGAGACGCCTCTTTACCGGCCCTGATTACGGAGCGAAGCAATTATCGCGAATGGAAATGCAATTACGGGGGAAAAAATCGGCCAGCCGAATACGGGGAGAGTTTTCACGGAAGCGAACTTCACGTCGCAATTTACATCGCGACGGCGGAAAGAAACGTGCAGGAAAATGCGTATAGGGGTAAAAACCGCGACGGATGGAGAGAGAAAGAGGAGTAGGGAGGGAGAGAGAGAGTCCAACGGCACGAGTGATTTATTTGATTGGCGCACGAGTGTTCTCTCGCTTGGTCCGGCGCATTTTCTCGCCCTGTTTCTCCTCCGTATACGGCTCGTTGACCCATTCGTCCGTCCGCCATATACCTTCGGCCCTTTTACACCCCATTAGACTTACCAGTATCCGCGGCGGATAAACACGCGCTACGTTTCCGCGCTACTTCAGGAACGCGATCCAATCATAAATTTCGCTTCTTGACGGCTCGTGTCTCGCGGGAGCGTCTATTACCTCGTTACGTTGGGAATCGAAGGAAAAAAAGTACCGTAGGAGAATATTACTGTTGCGACCACACATACGACGAACTTGAGACAACATGCTATGGTGTGCCGTGTCGGAATTAAACGTAGTTAATTTACAATGTTCAATTAACAGAAGGAAGCGCATTCCCTACAATGTATCTCGACAGTTAATATTTCCGCTTCTAATGGCGCACCAACGAAATGCCGTCCGTTGATAATTGGGGACTTTTCTCCGAAAAGATTGCCATTGAAATGCAATTTACGATTTCTCGTTTCGGAAATATGTGCGATTGAAAATGTTAAATATCGCAGTACCGTTGCAGTAGAACATTAATGAAATGTCAAATGTCAAGGTATTGAACATTTATCACGAGCATACAAATTGATCGCGCTGCATCACGGCGTACTTTCGCACACCAGTATTGATCGACAAAAATTATCTTTGATTAAAATAATCGGCGAATTAATAATCAATAATCAAGATGAATCAATCGTCATATATAAAATCACATAATTTCATTGACTAATGAAATGAATGATTGATTCAACTTGTCATGTCAATTGATGGAATTGTTTGTGTGATTTTATATATGACGATTGATCAGTTTTATTTACAGATTGTTTTAGTCACAAAAAATTTGTAGTCCATTAATGCCCAACATTGCTTTCAATTACCAAAGGGTCAATCTAAATCGAAAATAAAAGCCCATCAATGTTGGGTATTAATTGATAAAAATTTTCTGTGACTCAAGTAATTGCAAATTACTAATCAAAATTAATTAATTATCATATGTAAATTATACAAACAATTTCATCTATTGAGATGAAATTAATTATTAATCAGTCTATAACTAGTCACATATGACAAAGTGATGATTAATAATTAATTTCAATCAACGACATTATATTTGTGATTTTATAACGATCGATTAATTCTGACTAATGATTCGCCAATTATTCCAATCGGCGAAAATTTGAATCGATTAATACCCAACATTGTTGCATACGTATCCGCGAATTTCTGCGAGACCATGGAAACCCGAGTCGAAATTTTGGCCCTATCTTAAACTCTACACATACAATAGAAGCTAAGTTAATAAAGTGGATTTAATTCTAATGATACAATTTACTCCTACTTTGACTCTGTTAATGCTCCAAATTTTCCTTTTCACTTTCTTTAGCGTCAAAATAAGTGTTGAAAGAAATAGTAAGGCTACAAGTAGGATAAAAATTTCGACTCGGGAATGCCAATAGCACCAATTGCGATTGATGTGTTCGTCGATCACTTGAATTTTCCGCAGCGAGAGGAAACAACAACTCGGGATTTATTAGGAGTCGTTGAATGCGAGACGCGCCTTGTGACGTGAGACAGAGGCACGTATTTCCGATTAATATTCCGTTTGTCCAGCTTACGAAATCGCCCAGCCAACGAAATCCACCTGTGCAGCGTGATATATCCGAGCCCGTAAAATCGTAATTAGCCGCGATTCCGCGAAACGGAATTGGCTGCCGGCATTAGTCACGGGAGGCGCGAATTTGCAGTGAGAGATTAGGCAATCTGTGACGTGCAAGTGCCGTACACAAAGGACCAACCATAATGCAGTCATCGATCAAGCTCCGTTACAGCGCGAGCTGTACAACTCGTGACGCCTCGTGGTTTCCTTCCGTGCTCCATAATATTAGATCGACTTGGCTTGTCTCGAGATCGGAGGCGCTACACTCATATCTGATAATACGAAATGGCTCGCACTAATGCCAAAGTACAAATGGTTACTGCTACATTCATTCGATGTTTCTTGGTCATTCGTTACGCCCGTCGCTACTCGGGTACTGAGAAAAAGTATTTGGTATTTGTAACTATAATCGCATATTGAAGAGAACTATTTTTGTAGTAAGTGTTTACTGTAGTATCGGGCATCAGGTCATTCCTCCTTGATGAAGCGGACTGAAATGTTCGCGAAACGTCGAAATCAAACAAAGATAAATCTACGCGGCTCAAATCTGGAAATCAAATCTAATATGCTTACTATAGTGTTAAGAAGATGCCGGACATGAAAACTTTACCGACATAACATTGACTCTTTTTGCAAAGTTTACGTCTTGTTGCTTGCACAGAATTACAAATGCTTTTACACAACAAAAGTGCGTGCAAAAATTAATTGGAGCATTGCTCAATATGTAACGAAGACGAAAAAAATATGTTTAAATTTAAATTTTGAGCTGTCAGTTAGTGCAATATTTGTTTAATACAAACATTCTGCAGGTTGTACGTACCGAAACTGTGGATGCTCCAATCAGGAAAATTTCAAAGATTACTACTACACTTTCAGAATTTAGTTTCGATGCCAAAAAAGATTGCAGAAAAGTTTATGATTACATGCGGTTAGGTTTTCCGACAACTATGATAAAGTAAAGCGAAAAATTAGTTCACGGATATTTTTTGAGTTGGTACCATACTTTTATCGCACTTTTTACTGAACAAAGACGAAAAAATCGTAAAGAAATCGTAACGAGTTGTTTTCCTATGCATAATAGCAATAATTAAATAATAACCGAATAAATTATATTAAATAATAATCGAATAAAGAAGAAATAATACTGGAATATTAAATGGATGATAATAATATTTGATCGGCATTGAGGAACTCGATCGCGACGTTTCTCTATCTAACAAGTAAAAACGTAAATAAAACGCGGTAATTACCTGTCGCGGTAAAGCCCGTAACACCTGCTCGCGTAAGGAGTACGCGTCTTAATTTGTCTTAATTATCGCCTCAATTGTCGCGAAGTTATTATTACTACCGATTATTATCACTACCATTTAATATTCGAGTATTATTACTTTTTTATTCGATTATTATTTAATTTGTTCGGTTATTATTTAATTATTACTGTTACGCATAGGAAAGCAACTCAGGCGTGCCGTTACGACAATTTCTTTGTGACAATTTACCTTGTCTATAATCAGTTATTATTTCCCAGTTATTGTTATTCATTGTTATTACTGATTATTCGATTATCTTTATTCAGTTATTATCCGCTCGCGGCTATTATCACACGATTGTCGAGCAGATATTATTATAATTGTTCTAAAAAAGTAGTAATATTCGAATAATAAATAATAGTGATAATAATACCCGATCGGACAATCGTGTGATAATAGCCGTGAACGGATAATAACAGAATAACGATGATCGAATAATCGGTAATAACAATACTTGGGTGACGGCTCTAACAAAAACTCTAGGCTCAACAAAGGCTAGGTAAACCGACCGTCGTAACGTCCCGCTCGAGCCGTTGACTGAACAGTGCTGGAGGGGCGAGGAGGGGCGGGGAAGCACAGCTGGGTCATGTAAACACGCGTGCGTGAGCACGTGCCACATATTCGAGCGTCACACCATAGCACTATCAACCGTCGAGGCGAACGCATTGGGAGCCGCGTTATTTTCTAGATTATTTCGCGCCGATTTTTAATACCGTGTTTCGACTTCGCGACAATTAAGACAAATTAAGACGCGTATTCCTCACGCGAGCAGGTGTTGCGGGCTTTACCGCGACAGGTAATTATCGCGTTTCATTTACTTTTTTTACTTGTTAGATAGAGAAATGTTGCAATCGAGTTCCTCAACGCCGATCAAATATTGTCATTATCCATTTATTATTCGAGTATTATTACTTCTTTATTCGAGTGTCATTTAATTATTTTTATTGCGTATTGGGAAGCAACTCTAGCGTGCCGTTACGATGATTTTCTTACCTTGTCTTGCTGTCGTGTGTAATTAATTGATACTATCGGATATTATTATATGGTTGTCGATATTAATATCATCATCCATTAATTAATCGAGTATTATTACTTCTTTATTTAGCTATGATTTAATAATTTCTTATTGCGCATTGGGGAGAAACTCGAGCGTGCCATTACGATAATTTCTTTTCCTCGTTTTGCTATTGCATGTAACTAATTGATACTAAATTATTAAATTACTAAATTAAATTAAATTTCTGTCACAGAGATTCAATAGAGCAGACGCAGTCACGCGACTCTAGGGGGTGCGATGCCTGAAGAATGCCGTGCCGGAGGATTCGGCTCGGGCCTATCTGAGTCGGCTCGAAGGTGAGCTTCACTAATTTGAATTCATAAATCCGATAAAACTGGAAATTCACTTGTTTGAAATTTCTTAATGCCTCCATTGTCGTGTGTAATATTAAATTAAATCTGCTTTCTGTTGCAGAGACGAAACACAACCAGCCGACTCTTAGGGGCTGCTGCGCCAGAGGATCTGGCTCGGGCCAAGCGGGATTAACTCGAAGGTGAGCTTCATTAGTTAACATTTGTAATTAGAAATCTGACAAGATTGATAATTCTCTTGCTCGAAATTGAGATCATTTGAATTGAATCAAAGAACGCGTTAAATCATAATTACACGCGGGGAGAATTTTTCTGAGTAACATCACCACTTGAAAATTTTGTATTTGTTCTAATTAAGAGATTTATTTGCAACGTCGAGAAAAAGGAAAGTGGAATATTTCAAATGCGAATATATTCCGAAAAATTCTTCCAGCGTGAAAAATATCGCGTTTACTTTTTTTTAATCCGTTAAACTTCTTCACTCAAATCGTCAATACACGAATCTAATCGGCCAAATGGCATTTTTCTGTTTCAGAAACTTAAGCAGAATGTGGTTATCCTGATCAGCAGTTTGGTGAGTCAAAACATATTGATAATAGAAAGAAAAGTCTTTCGATGTAGTGCATGCTTATCGAATCGATGCGATTTACTTTGCTGTAGTTGTAGTATGTGTACGTGCCGTTCAATAAAAATTACACTGCTCGAAAAAATTGGAAGATCGCTTTTTCAAATAATAGTATTAGTGATAATGCATATTTTATATTAATTTGGCAAATAAATTTTCAAGAATTTTTCTTCCAATGTATATATATTTAAAAATTTATTAACTTAGACTATTGATTGGTCGACGATTTTTGTCGGAGGAAATTTTGATTAATCAAGCCCCAACACTATCTGATAGATGCTTAAAGTATTGAGTATACACCCTGAATATTCAAAATTTTGTAAAATTATTTAGTTTTATTGAATGCGATCTTCCAGGTGTCTCGAGCAGTGCGCCAACACGCAAAGGAATTGCGCCACAGAAAATGCGCAATCACATCACACATGTCATAGATCTTCCGCCGGTCGTTAATGTTCTCAATTTTCTTTCTCGCGTGAGCTTGAATCGCAATTGCATTTCACAGAGTTTGGACTTCGTTATTAAGTAAAATTCGATATCGTGCGGCACATGCGGGAAGCAATCTAACATGATTATATAAACTGCTCGCAAAATTAATTTCACGATCGTCGGTAAATTTTCAGGTTTCAATTTTTCACTTAGAATTAGAGTTTTAGAGTTAATTAGAGTTAATTAGAGTTTTAGTTTTCTAACGCGGGACATGATAGAGACAATGCTAGCGAACGTTGATTTCTCGCGAAAAACACGATGTACACAAGTCAGACATGTGAGCAGTTATTTGTTCATTTATGCGGCGCGCGACAAGTTCCATCGAATAAAGACAGACGTCTCACGCGGTAACATTTTTTTCGCGTGAATTTTGAGTACAATCTTCATCTTTATTGACACAATTTTCATAGATTTTGATTTTTCATTCATGTTTGCGTTTGCGATTATTAATTTGATAGGTTTGCAAATTTCACCGGATCGTATTTGCGGAAGAGTCGCGAGCGAACTTCGCAGAAATATTGCGGAGTTGTTATCCGCAAAAGCATTGCGAGATAGTCTTCGCAAAAGTATTGCGGAGCTGTTATCCGCAAAAATATTGCGGAATTGTCTTCGCAAAAGTATTGCGGAGTTGTTATCTGCAAAAGTATTGCGGAGCTGTTATCCGCAAAAATATTGTGGAGCTGTATTGCAGCCTACTACGCTGCACCATCGAAACGTTACATTAGGGATATTTCGTGTCGTACGTGAGAATTTCGCATAGATTACTTTGCCCACGCGTCGAAAGATTTCGCAAGGTCGGCCTTCGCGTCGCGTGTTCCCTTCGCTCGCGGATTCCGTTTTCTTCGTAAGCGATTCGTAAGCGTGTCATGTGTATATCAAAGCGATACATTACAATTCGATCAGACCGTTACTGAATTCGTCGCATATTCGCCGTTTATCCGAAAGGCAGACATTTGCTGGAAGACGCAGTTCGCGATATTTCATACGCAATTCTCAACTCGGAGTGTATCCTCGGAGTGTAAGAGATACGGGATTTTTCGTGAAACCTCCGTTAGATTACCGTGGTCGGGAGTGAATTACAGGCGACGTGGGACGCGAGGATCATTGCAGTATCAGATGCAGTGACAGGATGGCTGGTGGACCCTGGACACCGTGGGACGACGCGCAATGGTGAGCGCTCAATTTAGACGCTCATATAGTAGACTAAAGCGTCACTTTACGTAGATTGCATGCATGTAGACGTAAATCGCATTGAGTCCTACGGAAAGTAAAGTAAGAATTGGAATTTGTAATTCACCGTAGTTACGTAAGAATGATTCAACCAAAGAATTTAGCTCTGAAATTTTCGCAATAGTTCAACGAGTCAAGTATTTCCATTTCTTTAAGAATATTGACTAGCTCAATCCTTAGAAAAATATGCAAAAAGACGTGACTAGTAAAAAAAAAAAAAAACTGTTTCTTACTTTGTTTCAAGCATCTACGAGCATCTCGTATAAGGCTTGAATTTTTTTTGTTTGGTTTAAAAAGATGTGAATGCAGTATCCATTGATAAAAGCTTATAATTTTTTTAATTAAATCATTCTTGCATAACAATGGCCAATTGAAATTTCGACTCGGCAGGCTTTCTTCTCGTCGGTTTATTTCTTGATGATATATTAAACTAATATATTTCAACATGTCATATTTATATGCTCTATATATGTTATATATGCTATTTTTATGCTCTATATATGTTTTATATATACTCAATGCTCTATATATACTATTTGATTAACATACTTTATAACTTACTGTGTCGTATTATATACGACATACTATAATATCTCTTCGGAGATATTTTCTCATGCATACGCGTTTGTTGTTGACAAAATGACAAGTTAAATTTCGACAAATTAAAGACAACTAATTAAATTATTAACCGAGACTCGAACCGAAATGTTTTGATTTCCCGCTAAATTATTAAACCGAGATTCAACCGAAGTATTTTATTTTTCCGCCAAATTATTAAGCCGAGATTCGAAACGATGAGTTTTGTGTTTCCGCAAAATTATTAAGCCGAGCTAATTAAGCCTGGGATAATTTTTTAAAGTTTCTTAAAGAAATTTTCGCATTTGCAAAGGTGTATTTTCGGAAATGACGTGAAGTGTGCGTATTTCGCTTTGCGTATTTCGTCTCCTGGGTGACAATGTGTGTTTGTGACACATATTTCCTCAGCAGCACGCTCAGAATCTTAAAATAACTTGCCAATTGTACAAAATCGCGTTCATAACATTAGATCCAACTTAGCGTTGTAGAAATGTCGGATTCTCGCGCATTGGCCGAAAATCGGTCAAGTTACTGCAGGTTATTTAGATCATATAGTGTTAGCATCTGGAACATATTCTGGAATAATATCTTAGTTTTTTTAAGTAATTTTGGCGTTCGCAAAGATATATCTTCGAAAATGACGTGAAGTTTGATTATTTCGCTTTGCATCGTCTCCTGGATCACGTGGGATGCTCCGCTTTATTTTCGCACGTACTTAGGTAGGAAAAAGTAATCTTTGCAGAAAAATTCGATGTTGTAATAGTAACCGTTCCTTATTGTTTTCGTTTCATATTGATGGATGCTCCGCTTCATTTTCGCACGTAATTTCACCATGCAAAAGGATTTTTAGTTCGATGCAGATAGAAAGAAGTAAACTTTATAGAAAGATTCGATATCGTGATAGTAACTGTTCCTTATTGTTTTCGTTTCATATCGATGGATGCTCTGTTTCATTTTAACACGTACTTTTATCATGCAAAAGAGTTTTCGGTTTGTCGAATCAGCACGAGACAATAGTTTTGCAAAAATATTCGATATTACGTCAACGACATTTCCCAACAAATTTTACTTTGTGTTGACTTAACCAAATTAAAAATGCTTTTGTATAGTAAAAGTACATGCATAAATGAAATAGGGAATTCCTGCCTCAAGGATGAAAACGATGTGGAACTATTACTGTCGTGACACTGATTTCATTTTTCAAAAATTACAGCGTACTAACTGCTCCAATTTATGGTAAAATTACATGCAAAAATAAAGTGAAACATTGGTCAGTGCGAAATGAAAATAATATCTCAAATTACCGTTACTAATTATATTGAAAACTCAAATAATAGGTAACGTATTTTTTAAAAAATTATTCACAAACTATGCTTGCGCTTACAACACTTTTCTCTAAAAACTCTTTCTTTGATGCATCCAGTATACAAGCGATTTAAAGAATTCATCAAAAAAGTAGCAAGAGCCTATTTTGGAAAGAATATCGGCAACGTGGCATTCACATTTACGTAACGTCTATATGTAAGAAAATATAAATGACAACGTAGCACGCACATTTGCATACAATCTGTGAAAAGATGATAGCGGATGTTTAGCACCTATTTGACAATCATTTTTATTCCATAATATCTATGTATACATAAATTCAATATCGTTGGTGAATGATGATAACGTTTTCTACTTTTTGATGATGGCTCTACGTTATCGATACTTTTCAAGTTTGTTGCTCACTCCGGCATCCCCTTAACGATTAGGGATTAACCATAACGTTATGTGCACGTTGTGCTACACTACTTTCTTGTTATATAAAAAGATAAAGTTGACGACAAAAATAACTGTAATTTCAGTAACATTAACCCATTTTTTTCTCAGTGGAGACTTCAACGTAGATATATATTTCAAGTCGCGAAATACCGTTCGTCGACATCCCGACGCTTTAACTTCGTGTACAAAGTTGTTCGAAATACAAAGGGGCAATAACACAATTGCCAGGATACTCGCTGTCGTGATCTCTAAGTTGCGAACTTTCGGTGCGTTCTCGCTGCTTGCAAGAGGATCCACGGGGAAAGATCGGTTCCAAATTCGGCGGCATATCTCAGTCACAGTATGTCCGGCGGAAATCCGATTCCTGTTCTATACGAACATGGCCTAAAGTAAAGCGAGTGCAAGGATGGTTTGATCCTAACCGTAATCGAGGCTTAACTCGGCAAAGGGATACGTGTTAACATTCATAATCCGCTGGAGTTGCA